GGTTCCTTTGCAATTTGCTGCCTCGGTGTCTTGTTTAACTTTCCTAATTAAAAGAAAATCTTGATGTAACTATAATTTTATGCAGTAGAGCATTACCTCTGCCTTCGGGGATGGTGGGGTTTTTGTCTTTATATTTGAAATCTGGACTTTGGGGCTCTAATGACAGCTTTGTTCCATGAAGAAATTGCTGGAAATTGCTTTATGGAACAGTTTTCAGTTTATTTTTTTAAAAAAGCGGCTTTCTACTTGCTGAGAGCGTTGCCATAGCCCCTCCCTCCATGTGCCGTTCCCCGAGATCAACATCTCGCGTTAGTATGGCACATTTATTATTAATGAACCGACAGCAGTGTATTTGTATTTGTTTATTATTAGTTCCATGGCTTAGGCAGATTTCTTTCTTTTTTGTAAATTAATGGGCCTTTTCTGTTCTGTTCAGTCAAGTAACAGTTAATTGTCTGCTTGGGATCCTGTGGGCTGTTGAATGTCTCCTCATTTTTAAAGGCCTTGGCAGTTTGAGGGTGTTCATTGGGCCTGTGATCACATGCACCGCTACTGGAATTTGGCCATTTTCTCCTGGGTAGGCTGGGGCCGGAGTTTGGGAAGAAGACACAGAGGTGGCTGTTTTTACTGCCCTGTTGTTTTGTCACATCAAGGGTGCGACCTGTCCACATGACTTGTGACTGAATGTCAGTCTTGATCACCAGGCTGAAGCGCTGTTTGTCGATTTCTATATTGGGAAGACTTTTCCTCTTTCCATACAGTAGGAAATGTGTATCTTTGCCCTATTTTAATGCAGTCTTTAGATCAGAGCTAACTCATCACCATGTGTTTCTGTACTTTGGGTGGTAGTTCACACTACTTCATTTCTGTTTTCTTGTTCAAACTGGCCCCGTCGGACCACTGGGCTCTTGGACTTGGCTTTGCTGGCAGTGGGGTGCATTGATCTGGGGAAGCGCTTCCTTCCTTTCTCATAGTGTTGAGTCCGGAATTCTGATCCCCGAGGAAACGCAGAAAGGACGAGATCAGAGACACTAAAATCCAGCAGAGGCAGGTTTATTGAGAAACCGACATGCCGGGGCTCAGCAGTACTCAGGACAGAGAGCCCCGACTGTTCACAGGCAGTAGTTTTTATACATTTTACAATGCCTCTATGTTTCCTATTAAGACCACCCACTCTCCTAACTCCAGGAGCTGATAGGCACATTCTTGGTCCGTGTGTGCAATCTTTCTGGCCATCTGGAGGTTTCAGTTACTTTAAAGCGTGATGTGCTAATGCAGCTAGCTAGCCGTGTTAAACATTTGTCTTAAGTCAACAGGCTCTAACCCCCCAAGGCAAAAGGGCTCTAAACCCCGAAGGCAAAAGGGCAGTGGGGCTCGCAAAACAAATGTTTGACTTTCTGTTAAGCGTCTTTTAACAATAGTATCTGAGACCCAGCATCATCTGTGCACCCCTTCTCTCAGTCATAGTAGCAGCCATTTCTCCAAAGGAAAGAGACTCTTCTCTTTTTAATATAGGAGAGAAAGACACCTGTAGAAATAGCTAAAGTTGTTCATTGATGATTGTTTGGTAGTGTCACTGTGAATTGCATCTGTAGCATGCATCCCCATACTGCCTCACTCCTTTCAGAAAGGCTTTCCTGCATACTTCCCTAAGGAGAGCCTTGGTTAGAGGGGCAGTAAAGTGGATAATAGGCTTTTTTCCCCTCTTATCCAATTGCTCAAACGTTCTGAATTCTCATACTAATGAAGAAGTGACAGGAAGCAGTTGAACTCGTCCCACGGTGCTGCTGCTGCTAGATGCCGGCTCGGCAGCGCCTCACCCTGTCAAGGCAGAGGGAGGCTGTGGCAGCCACGTGGTGAGCTCTTTCCTGTCAACATGGCCAGTCTGTGTGTGACGGGTGCGTGGCCCTTGTTGACGGACAGGTGGGTTCAGGTTTTCTCCCTGCGCTGCTGCTCGCCTGCTCTGTCAGGTCACCTCTGGCCTCTGCAGGTCACCTTTACCATAGCCCAGCCTGGACCATGGTCAGTGTGTTCACTGGAATTCAGGTTCATCTGTACAACACGGAAGCCCAAAACAGAAGCTTATTTTTGTTCTCACATCAAAGGAGCTTGGAGGCCGGCTGTGGAGGTTGGCACGGAGCGTCAGCGTCAGGGAGTTACCAGGGACCGCGGCTCCCACAGGCTATTACCATTGTTCTTCAGACCCAAGGTGGCTGCTGGATTTCACACAGTGAATCCATCAGTCCTTGCTGCAGATGGCGGGGTAGCAGAACAGGAGCAGCGGAAAAGCCCTCCTCCATCAGAAGGTCTCTAGAAGTTACCTACCAAGCTCCTCTCTCGTCTCCTTATCTCTTGCTTTTCACCCTCCACTTTGCTGCAGAGGAGTCTGGACCATATCTTTTTGCACCTGGACAAGAATGTGTCTGTAAAACAGAAACCAGGAAGCAGAACAAAGCAAAATCTAAAATAGAAACACAACAGAGCCTCTGGATTTTGTTGTTACTGAAGGGGAAAAAAATAGCATCTGGCTCTTCCGAGCTCTGCCCCAGCCGCCGTGTGCCCGGCCCGGCAGTGGCTTGCGCTTCCCCAGCAGCCAGGCTGCCCACTGGGCTCTGCCTGCCAGCCGCCACGCCCCGGAATGGTGGGGAAGCCCGAGAGCTGCAGACGTCTTCTGTCCATGCCTACCAGTTAGCCCCCTGAAGTCTTGTCTAAAATTATGAGTTGTCAGCCCCTGGAATTCTTTACTTACAGCAGTTGTCTTAACTATTTGCGTACCCGGTGCTAATTCCGCTTTCTCACTTAGCTTTTGTTTATATGTCTCATAAACTACCATATATCACCTCGGCCTCCGTTTTGTGTGTCTCTGTGATACGTCTCTAATGAGCCTCCATCTCAGACATCTGTTTTTATCAGCAAAATGTAAGCCTGGCAGGGTGGGGGGACCCCGTTGCTCTGCTCACATCTGTCCCTAGCGAGCTTACTGCACTGAGTGTGCTCTAAAGACCTGTTCAGGAAGTGAGTGGGCCGTGCCCCCTCTTCGTCAATGCCCGTCCTTTCACAATGAGAGCCTGTATTTGAAGCGCCCACCCCCTCTTCTCCCAGCCCACTTACTGTTCTCGAGATGTGCTGTCTCTCATGTCTATACCCACTCCTTGGATTCCATGGAGCACCCTCCATGGATTTTGAGATTTTTCTCCCTGTCCTGAGCCCTCCCCACAGGCCTCTTCTCATCCTTGCATCTCCGTGGTGTCTCGCTCACATGCTGTGATGCCGACAGCAGCTCTTGGCGGTGCACCCGTAGCTCTCCTGCCTTCTGCCGTTCCTTCTGCATGTCCTTTGGCGTCCTCTAGCTCCGTCACAACTCGGCCTTCCTTCCCCTGTGTTCTTTCCTCTTTCCTTTCCGAGTGACAGGTCAGTGGCCACTTGCTTCACTGCTTCAGCGATGGCCTCATAAAGATGATGCCCAAATAGGCACACACCGCCCTCTCTCCTCTTTTCTGTATCACTGTAGCTTCCTGGGTGACGCGACTTGCACTCCTGTGGCGTCTAAACAGGACATGTCAGAGCTGTGAGGTGACTGAGTGTCCAGTGAATGAGGTCTTGGCTTCTGAAACTTCCTGTCCTAGGGACCTGAAGGCAAAAGCCAGTGGCTTCCTGAGTGGGGTCTTCCTCGTCTCCATCGCCCTTGTATCCTATGCAGCTCCTTTTTCCTGTGAAGATCAGGTTGGAAAATCTGCACTTCACAAAGATTTCTAGGATGACCCCGGACCTTGTTGACTTTCTAGAACTTGAACTCCTGCCACACATTTGTATCTGCTACCTGGCTCATCCTATACATGGTCTGTATTGCGTTGTGGAATAAATTATCTTTATGGTAAATGTCTTATCTTACAGATCCCCTGTAATCTTGTTCCTCTTTGTAGTCCCAGTGCCTGTGAATAACCGGCACTTAGTGTTTGCTGAAGGTATGGCACCCCCTTTTCATTTTCTTATCTTGTTCCATTTCTAATGCCACGATTACTGGAGGAGGAAAAAAAAAATTCCTTCTTAACACCAAACAAACATTTCTTTACTACAAATGGAATGGAGTGTTTGGGCTCAGCTGAATGACAGATTTTCAACAATCTGATAGCATTTTGCTTTGCACTATTTAAAGTACCTTATAAATGCCTTCAGATTATTGTTGAAGAAGTAACTTGTCTCTGGCTTTCCTACTTTCTTTCTTTCTTTTTTTTTTTTTAAAGATTTATTTGTTCATACAGAACTGGGGTACAGGCCAGAGGCTCAGGGGCGGTGAGAGGCTTCACCAGAGACAGAGTAGGGAGCAGAACAGGCAGATCGAGGAAGTACACTGCTGAGGGAAGCAGTGGGTGGGTCAGGAGAGGTCTGCCGCGCCATGTGGGTCACCTCCCGGGCAGGTGGGGATCGAACTCATGTTGAAGTGGCTTTAGCTTCTCAGTGCTGTGCTTTAACCCGCTGCGCCACCAGGGAGGGCCTTTTCCTACTTTTTTGAGTGTCTTTTAAAGACCCAGAATCAGTCATGAAAAGCGCTTGTTTTGCACTGGAACATCCAAGCTGTGGTAGGGGCTACAGGAGAGAAGAATGAAAGACAATATGGGAAGAACAAAGTGAGGCTGGAAATACCACGCCCTGGGGAAATGAGGTGAGGGAGATGGGCTAGGAGCAAGCAGGGGAGATGAGCCCAGCAGGGTGTGCTTCCTGAGGATGAGAAGTCACGCCAAGAGCTTGTTTGCCTCCAGCACCTCTAAAAAGCAGCTTAGCCACTTGTTTTTCTCTTAAAAAATATAGCCTTCCTCATAAGTTGGTAAGCAGCGTCGTAAAGCTAGACAAAGTGGCTAAGTCTGTAGCGTCTTTTAAAATGCAGGTACAGGATGTTAGCTGTGATTGAAGTTTCACGTTTTTCAGGGCTAGGGGAACATTCTCCAATGACAGGGACTCAGGTCACTCATTTATATTGTTTCACTTTTCTTTTTCCATAGGGAATTTGAAATACTGCCTTGTGATTCTGAATCAGCCCTTGGACAAATGTTTTCGTCATCTTTGGAGCAAAGGTAATCAACTGTTTGTATTTCTGTGCTTTCTTACTCTGGGGGAGTGAGAAATACGGCCATGAGATACTCTGGGAACTGCTAGAACAGTAGTAGTAATACTAGAGCGTGGAGTTTGTGATCACGTGGCTTAACTAATGCATTACCCAGAGAGCTCCTCACTGTTACCCCTCATCTGCTTACTACGAGGCTCCGAGTGGGCCCTCCCGACAGGGTTATATTGTAATGTTTCTCCACTGCATCCCACAGGTTGTGCAGATGTCACATTGGGGTACGTAGCAGGCACTTGTTGGATTGTAAATGTTTCAGTCCTATTCACAGCACAAAGTACCCCGCAGCCTCACTGGTCCCAGTGTCCAGAATGAGGTATCTGCAGGGCCACAGAATTGCAAAATTAAAAAAGGTGTGATCATAGTATATTAAAATCTCTAGGGATGCTGAAAAAGAGAGCTCAAAGTGACAGTGTTCCAGAGATCGGACACTTACATGAGCTTTTTATGGAGGAAACAGACTTACTTGAATTTCTAGGATCAACTCTTGGTTGGAAAACACGTTAGCTATCCTTTGCTGTTTTGACCCTATGGTCTTCCTCTAGGAAATCTTGAGATTTTTTTCAAAGTGGGAAATACTTCCACCAATGAACAGTGTGAATTTTAGAACAGATTAGCAATAGATGAGCAAAAGGACTTGATGTTTGATATCGTGATGACTCTTCTGGATCATCTGGCACCACAGAACTTCCTGGCATTCTCCACAGGAAGGTTCTGTGTCTCAGGGGCAAACCTGGTCTGTCAGTGGGGGCACATCTGTGGCTCGAAGTCACTGCGACATGGCAGGAAGTAGACCCCCACGGTGCCTGTGTGAGGGCCACGGACGCCGCCTTGAGTTGTCCCGCTTGGAACTTCATGGTGGGATTGCAGTGGCGCTGCCCAACTGGGAATCACGTGGCCGCTTGCTTCTCTTCTGGGCCGCTGAGCGCTTGCTTCCTGTGACTGGGGCCTGGGGGGTCATTGTGCCAGAGTGTGCCGCTGAGCGCTTGCTTCCTGTGACTGGGGCCTGGGGGGTCATTGGGCCAGAGGGTGCCGCTGAGCGCTTGCTTCCTGTGACTAGGGGCTGGGGGGTCATTTGGCCAGAGGGCTGCTTTGTCACTAGTGCTGGTGCCTAGTAAGTACCGTACATGGGAGAGTGAGTCCATGGTGGTTTGTACAGCACCCAGATTAACCGTCTGGGTGCAGTACGTCTCCACATATCCAAGGTTTCACCATGTGGATAGCAGGATGTTTGAGCAACAGTTTCCCTGCAGACATGAGGAACAGTCATTGATAGGAACCGTCGGATGCCTTTGCTAGTGGAAAGCACATCATAGCGAATTTCTTATTAGGGGGGAGGATTTAGGGGTCTTATTTTGCACCTTGTGTGAAATGTAGATTTTTGAGCTGACTGACAGCATTCTTTCTTTAAATCTCACACCCAACACACCAACAAATCATTTGATTTATATGAAAATTTGGTCAGTTCATGTAGAAGGAGAGAGTTAAAGCATCTAAAGGGTTGTGTGCACCGAAATAATGAGATTGTCCTTTCTAAGATGAGTTTTCAGGTTTCTAGTACATTACGTTCTTCCATGAGTACTTCTAGGGTAATTCTTGGCTTTGAAAAGCCACTAACCAATTCCATGATCAATGTGTAATGTTATAATGGAGTGCTGCTTCACTTCAACAAAAGCAGATCTGTTAGTAAATACTGAGGTGGGAAAGGGGGCTTGAGTGTCAAGACAGAAGCTGTGATTTTGTTCGTAGTGTTGGTTTGTGGTGTTATTTTTCCAAGTAAAGCAATACATAGAGAAACTTTGAACTTGAGTTCCTGTTCTTAACAAAGGAGAGCGGCCTAAAAGAAGGTTAAGTTCTTTAAGTTCTGCATTTGGAGTATGCACTTGGGTTTCAGCAAGGAAGTGCCTGGCGCTGCTCACGTGCCTGACCCCGCCGCACCTTCTGCTCCGTGGGTGTGAAGATTTGTGGAGAGCAGAAATCCAGGTGAAGCTCACAGACTGCGGTGCAGGAGAGTGGAGGCTGCTGCGGAGTTTTTCTTCTCAGGACAGAGGGAAAATCCCCAGGCCTCTGGGTTCTTCTTGGGTCAGATGCGTTATCCAAACAGCATCCTCAAGGCTAGTAAAAGATAAACAGTCGGGCCCTCCCTGGTGGCGCAGCGGGTTAAAGCACAGCACTGAGAATCTGAAGCCACTTACGCATTAGTTCGATTCCCGCCTGCCGCCTGC